AGCTAATTTAAATAAACTTGCAAGAAAAATAAGAAAGCGAGAAAACCTAGCATGAAAGTTAGAAAAACGAGTCGTAGAAATCACAAGCAAAACTCTTAGTCAAGTATGGAAGAACGGAACTGATTGTAAGACATCAATAAAGGTGGGGGCTCAAAGCTAGACTGTGTGTATCCCAACCTTAGATAAGAGCTACCGACTTGATAATCTTAGCATTGCAAGCATAGTATGATTTTCAGCTAATTTAAATAAACTTGCAAGAAAAATAAGAAAGCGAGAAAACCTAGCATGAAAGTTAGAAAAACGAGTCGTAAAAATCACAAGCAAAACTCTTAGTCAAGTATGGAAGAACGGAACTGATTGTAAGACATCAATAAAGGTGGGGGCTCAAAGCTAGACTGTGTGTATCCTAACCTTAGATAAGAGCTACCAACTTGATAATCTACGGAAAGCAGTCATAACATTGATCCAAGTAATTAACCGTAGACCTTTATGAACATTTTATCTTATTTTTTATTTATTTTCATGCTTGTAGAATTTAATTTGGCAAAAAAAATGTAATTACTTTTATTGCAGAGAGAACTTCAGTTTAAAAATATATTTTTTAAAAGTAGTGTAATCCATAGGTTAATTATCCTAATCGAATGAGGAATACTAACAACCTAAGAGTATCAAGGACGACAATCACACTGAGAGTTGGCAAATAGTATCATCGGTCCTTATCCACTCCCCTTATGGAAGGTCCTCAAGGTAGGAGATATTACTTTAATTGCCCCTCGTATTTAACACACATAACCATTATCGTCATCGCCCTAGCCACCTAGACCTTAGACTTATACAAGCCTGATGATTCATATGTGACTTTAAAAAATGTCTTCAATTATCGAAAGGATTTGAGTGTAATGTTCAAACTCAAATCTAGGTGCACTGAGTTTCACTATATGTTAAGTCATGGCGAAAATTTCACTGTTTGACTTAATTAAGGAAGCATGAACTACGTCTCGGTGCATCCTCATGTCTAATGTCTTAATCAGTTTGTGACTTAGGGTCAAGTTTCTGGTTTCATTATTCATTCGAAAATTAGATAGATGAAGGCTCACCTAGTATGTGCTCCTCAAATCTAGAAGGTCTGCACTGAAAAATAGTTAGATGAACTCTCACCTAGGGTGTACTCCCGAAATCTAAGAAGCCTACACTGAAAATTAGGTTGATGAACTCTCACCTAGGTTGTGCTCGTAAAATCTAAGTAGGTAAATGAACTCTCACCTCGAGTGTGCTCCTAAAACCTAAGAAGCCTACATTTTAACTTATGTTTAAAGTGATTTAAGGTGTTCTACCATCAAGTAAGTGTTTTCTGATTAATCCTCAAATATTTCTAAGTGTCTTCCAAAAAATTAATCAGAAGCTCTCATTTTTCAACTTAACCATTGTATTTTTAAAGCCTCAAACGACTTCAAATAGCAATATGCAACCTTACACAACAATTTTAAAGCTTCGAATGACTCCAAACAGCAATATGCAACACTACAAAACAGTTTTAAGGCCGCAAACAACTCCAAACAGTAATCTTCATCACTACACATCAATTTTAAAGCCTCGAATGACTCCAAACAACAATATGCAACCTTCCAAAACAATTTTAAACCCTCGAGTGACTCCAAACAGTAATATGCAACACTACACAGCAGTTTCAAAACCTCAAACGACTCCAAACAGCAATGTGAAACACTACACAGCAATTTTAAAGCCTCGAATGACTCTAAACAGCAAGTTCAATGTTTTCTACAGCTTCCTAAAGCGATCGGCACCTCCAAATAGCAAGTTCAATGCTTCCTACAGCACCCAAACATCAATTTTAAACCATAAGCAACACCCTACAGTGGTCCTAAGCTTCCTACAACACCCAAAAAACAATTCCAAGCTCAACTACAGCACTAGGCAACACCTAATTGGCTCTGAACGGCCAACTACAACACTAGGCAGCGCCCAACAAGCTTCGAACGGCCAACTAAAGCACTAGGCAGCATCCAACTAACTCCAGGCGGCCAACTACAGCACTAGGGAGCACCCAACTAGCTCGAGACGGCCAACTACAGCACTAGGCAGCACCCAACTAGCTCTAGACAGCCAACTACAGCACTAGGCAACAACCAACTAGCTCCAATCAGCCACCTACAAGACTAGATAACACCTTTAAACCCAAAACCGCTGCTTTTAACACTCCAAATCGGCAAAAGAAACAACCCCAATTTGGCCCCAAAACACTTCAAAAAAAAAAAAAAAAAAAGCTGTCATTTTTAACAAAAAGATGCACAAATCCTCTTAAAACAATCAACATTTCCGTCTCAAAACAAGTGCCCGAATTATTTCAAAACAACCCATAAACCAACTCAAAAATAGTGTTTAAAAAGTTCAAAATATGCATTTAATCAACCCAAAAAGAAACAAATGTAACCAGCAATCATCAAGGAAAATCAAACCGTTTAGCAAGAAAGCCCAAGCAACTTATTCCACGCATAGGTAGAGTGACACATACGTAAACATTTTAGTTTAGACATGTAAATAAAAAAGAATCGAGTAGTATTTATGTAAAGGCTTGAGCTTGGACGGTGCGTATAAATCCATAAGAGTTGAAACATGCATTCTGGTTTCCATTCCCTTTGTACGGTGTGAGTATATAAGTGTTGGTAACATGCATGTAAACTCATAAGAACTTGATGGTATGTATGTAGTAAAAAAAATTGAGATTCACATGTAAGGCATGTAGATATATATAAGAAGTTGGCATGCAAATCTTCACTAAAATTCATACTCATAACAAGTGAATTAGAAGTTGCAATTAAATTCAATCTCACGACTTCTGCATTAAGAGACATCAACATAGATAACTTACTTATCATAGCTCTCTCTCCAGATCGCTAGTGTTGCAGGCTCATAACTAATTATAACAGAATAAATAGTGCATCGAAAATTTTCTTTTAAATGTTAGAATTCTAGAAAGAACAAAAAAAAAAAAAAAATTGGCGGTGAAGTTTTACATATCAGATAGAGGAAATCCTTCACCTTAGGGAAAGGAGTTGCACCTGTGTGAGTAGAGGAGGATACAAGAAAATAAGTTGCGGGCTTCTTCTGCGTGGGGAAGAGCGAGCTCGCAAGAGAGGGAAGCAAAGCAGGTGCTTCTTCTGCGTGAAGAAGAGGTAAATGGGATAGAGCGGAGCAGGCGGAGGCGATCGGCTAGGGCTGCGGTCGAGCGAGGAAGAGGGAGCCGGGTTCGGTCGCAAAGACGAGGGGTTTCGGCTGTGATGAAAGAAGTTCGGCGCGAGGGTTCAATCGTGGTGAGCTGGTGAAGTTTCGGTGCAGGAGGCGAAGCAGGCGAATGCGAGAGAGGTGAGACGAGTGGTTTTCGGTTTGTCTGGGAGGAGGAGGCGAGGTCGAGCGGACCAGAGATCCTAGAAAATAGTCGAATCGAGAGAGAGAGAGAGAGAGAGAGAGAGAGAGAGCGAGTCGGGAATGGTGTCGAACGCCTGGAAGAAGGGGGAGTCGGATTTTATAGCAGAAGTTTCAATGGAGCCGCTACGTGAAGCATTTGGCGGGGGATTAATTTGTTTCCATGCGCAGAAGAGAATTGGAAAAAAATAATCCTTAATTATATCCAATTATTGTGGGATTAAATAATATATTTGAAATTTGAAATTTGAAATTTGTCAGCTGAAATAATTAGCCCGTGCTTAGCCCACATCCAGCCCAAGTCAAACTCGAGTTTAACAGGGGTTGAGCCAGGACCCACACCCCTCTAATAAAAAAACGTGCATCAATTTTCGTGCTAATTGCCCGCGCGCGGACCCATAGTGATATGGGTGTCCTTCCTAGCTAAAGTCGATGCCCTGGAAGCATCCGTGTGGTCTGTTTCGTCATCCGAGCTCGTCCAGAAAAGTTCACCGATAGTTGGGTCAAAAAAGAAAAAAAAACAATTAACTTTCATTCGAATTTTGTGCTCGTGACAAATCATTTTGGGAATTGACCTTGGTTTAATTGTCGGTGCAATGCGCGTAAGTGTCGATGTTGTGAATTACTAAGTTTGCGAGTTTTGTATGCGTGAATTGCAGTGTTCGCATTGTCGAGTCAAGGGGGTTCACCTAAGGCAGTCTGACCCTGTAGGAACTCATTTTCAGGTCATCTACATGTTAGTCCTTAGCTCTTGCAACAAAGAGTTGAGTGCTTGGGACTACTCATGTGAAGTCTGCACAAAAATGAGTCAAGAAGTGACTCAAAGTTCTAAGGGAGGTGAGGGAGGTGAGCTCCATCATTAGCATCATTAGTTTGCTAGGATGGTCAACAAGAAACTCCCAAAGCTAGATCCTGGGTTCTAGGAGTAGGAGATTAAGACCTCACTGAAAATGAGGTTAACACGGCACTATGTAAGTGCGTGCTTGTTATGATTGCCACCAATACTACAGGGAACGATCGCAGGAGCTCACAGAATCTAACAGGCAAGCGAAACCGAATAGGGAGGGGGAGTGAATGCAGCAATTTAATGTAACCCCACAAAACAAATCCAAGTCGTTCGATCCAATCTACCTATTGCATGTCGAGAAAAGTACAAACGAGTCAGTGGCTACAATGAGGGTGCGAAAGAATAAGGAATTAAGGGATAGTTAAATTAATTAAGCTTATAACTTCAAAATTTTATCTCCCCATCCGTTCAAAATTCATATATAGTGTTATATATTGAATTGATCATTTTCATGCATAGAATTTTATAACATTGCTTCGATTAAATTTTGGGGATGTGAAATTTGAGGTGCATTTTAATAATTAAAGAACTTTACCTAGTTTCTCAAAGTTTGGGTGTCACAAACCGTAACTCATAAATATGGTTGTGAAGGAGAAATAGATGTACCACTTAATTTGGTGATATATATGGAATTCCTTTAAAAATAAGAAAATGAATTTTACTTCAGTGAAACAAAAAAATGTAGCCAAGATGAAACCCAAAAACATACCTAATAATGATGCAAATGCAAAATATTGCATCCGTTGTAGGTGAATAGGTATTTCATTAGCTATATCATGATGGATGATGGGGAAAAAGGCTGGCCAGTTTTTCACCTCTACAGCAATTCCAGCTGCAATAAAGAAAGAACGAAAGGACTGATTATGCTAAAAGGTTATATTCTACTTAACCAAATAAGAAAACAAGAACCTGACATATCTACCTAATATTTTATAAGGAAATGATGAATTTACCTCGTGCTGCAGCTTCTTCTTTACGTTTAAGCTCCTGCACAGCAAAGAAACAGCTAAAAATGGTCACGGAACATATTCAAATTCTAAATGCCAAATATAACCGTGAAGTTGTCAATATTGTAACATAAGCTAAAGCACAACAAGCAGGTTTCTTGCCAAGACATAATAGAAACATGTCTGCCACTCATTTGCATCAACAAGCAATAGATCCAATGGCAATGCCTTCTGCCAATCAAAGAACAGGGCCAGGTAAAACTGCTCTTACAAAATTACATCACTAATATGCTGCATACACTATAATAGCAAACGTGTGACTTATAAAATATGCAAACTAAATGCGCAATTGGCTTTTATAATTATCTTGTGCACGCAAATATGGGAATTCCTTAACCAAAATATGATAAATCGAGCACAATAGAAATACAAAGGAACTGTTGTGATAGCCTATTGTTAATCTGGAGAAGAAAGTAAAACATAATATAATTGAATTTTAATTACACATTTTTACTTAATAGAATACAAATATATTATTTGCATCACAGTATAAGAATGTATGCATGAAGTACAAAAATCAGATGCTTTTTATAATATTCTCATACAAAATAGAAAACATAAAGTATAGCGGAATATATGGTGGCAGTACATACAACGCAGATTACATCATAATACACTACTATGTTATATGATAACAAACAAGATTAGCCTGACCTATGCAATTTCTTTCTGAGACACCCTATAGATTTATGTTCATGAATATGCAAAATTATGGTGAGGAAGAAAGGGTGTTAAACGTAGAGACATAAAAATAAAAAAGAACCCTATTTGAATAGCAGCATAATTTATTTGGGTGTACCCAAGACCCTTGCACTCACTCTCCTAGCATAAAGGGGTTTTTGTCCAAGAACCCACTGCTCTACTGCAACCGGTGATTGTTCTACAACCAAGCTCACTTTCCTATGTTTTGATATTAGCATGTGTGCTCCTGTGCAATACGAGCCTACAATTATTGAGTTTCTACTTAAACCAGTTTCTTTATATGATTGTTTTATGTTCGACCCCCATATGCATGACACAAATATTTTCAATGATTCAGCTCTTTGGACAATCATACATATGGTTACCAAAGATTGAGGTGTATGATCCATTAAACTATAGTATGATCCAATTGAAATATACATTGTAGTATTTTAAAATTTTATCAATCTTTCGGTATACGCCGTGCAAACAACCAAGACCATACCTGTATCCATAACCTGTGTAACTCTCCACTACTCACCTGTGGGACAACCTGTTTTTTATTTATAACAAACTCCTTCTTAAATAGCTATGTATAGACACTCGATATACATAAATATATAATCTATAGGACAGTATATGTATATGCTGTTGAAACTACTACGCATTCATGTGGTAGTAGAGCAGGCTGAGAATTAATCTCACCTCTTTCATTCTTTCTCAACCTTTTTCTCTTTTTCATTCTACCATCTCTTCCTCCACAACTCTCTATCAGCAAATCTGTCATGGCATCCTCTAAAACTAACAGCGTACATCCAACTCAATCATCAAACAGCACTTCATTCATCTCCCCCTCACTGAAACTTCTGCTCAATCACATCAAATTTTTGGCATCAACTTAACTGTTGAAAACTAGTCGATCTAGAGAGCCCAAGTCCTAAAACTATTTCAGACAAACGGGTTTCAATCGTTTCTAGATGGAACAACAGAATATCCACTTCAGCATCTTAAGGATATATACAGTCACTTCTACTGCAATTCAGAATACATTACATGGAAACAAACTGGTCAAAACCTCTCAGCAGCCTTATTCTCCACCATAAGTTCTTCACCTAGAAACCACTGCTTCAATCTAGTCTACTCTACAAAAACGTCTGCAATTCACCAACCTCTCACGAGTAATTCAGCTCAAAAATGAGCTCCACTATATCTCTATGAAACATAACACCATGAATTGATGCCTCACTCAAGTAAAATCACCCATAGAACACATCACAACTATCAACTCCACCTTTGACACCAAAGATATTATCATATACATCTTGAGTGGTCTCCCACACACCTAGAATTCATTCAAAACAGCCATACGCGATACTTAGCCCCAATTCATTTAGATGATCTGTATTCATTGCTATGTGGCGAGGAAGTTAATGTAAATGCAAATCTAGCACAACTACAGACAGCCTCTTAGTTAGCACTTGTCTCACTCGACACAAATCACAACTCCAGCAAATACAATGGTACTGGCAAACCTGAGGCGGGAGCCTCTTAGTTAGCACTTTTCAAGAAATCATCTTCCTCTTACAGCTCCCGTAGCACCTCAAATGACACAACTCCAGCCTACATGGAGGTGATCATCAAGTGGCAGCGACTCAAGGCACCTACTAGTAGATTTTGGCTTCCTAGTTTGCCCTTAAGTACAAATTAGCATGACGCCAAGAACTCAACCCACGAAGCATTTCTTCCATTCAACATGATCTGACCATTCAAGAACCTCAAGGCCTCGTGATCCATGAAGTCACGTGCTTGACGACAAGTAATGACTCAATTGGTAAGACATAAATCGAATACTTTCTCTTGGACTCATTCAACTTCTCACTGAATGAGGTTATGGGATGTCCCCCCGACTTAAAACTGCTCTGATCCCCACATTATAAGCGTCATACTCCACCTTGAATAAAGCTAAAACTAGGGTTTGAGTCACCTTCTTCTTCAGAGTATCAAAGTTGAACTGAGATGCTTCTATCCACTAGAAATTCTATCATTTCAAAAACTCCATCAAGGTAGTTGTAATAGTGTTGAATCTCTTGATATGTCAAAAACATGTGAGATTTGGACAAATAATTCTCTATCTCCTTACTTGTGATTTCCTCTGTGTGAATTTAATGAAGCTATAAACAAACTATTCTCACATTAAAAAATCAAGTTCCTTAAATTATATTTTCTCTTTAATTTGATTCTCTAAACCTTTGGTGTTTGGTACTTCTGTTGATTTGGCCTACATAGGTTCTAATTTATTGTACAATCCAATAATATAGAGAACCTCATCCCTTTAAATCATATTTTTTAAATTTCTTATAATAAAATATAAGATGTTCTTGAGTAATCTATGATGTGCGCATAAAATATATCATCTAATGATAGCTAAATATGATGTTGTTAATTGATAATTTTGTTAAAAGTGATTTGTTTTAATGTGTTTATTTCTTATTTTTTCGGTTAACGCTTCCGTAAGTTGGAGATTGACAATTATTTATTGAAATATCAATTAAGGTATGGTGATGATAATGATTGTTTTATTACCGTTTTGAATTATCTTAATTTGGAATATCAAATAGACAATTTATGTTTGTTTAATGTTATTTTTTTAGTAGCATATTAAGTATTTTGTGGTCATCATTATTAGTTCTCTCCTTAAAGTCTTTATTTATTCACCCACATATAAGTATGTATTTCCCTTATTCTCTTTATTTAAAAAAATTGAGTCTTTTTTCCTTAAAGATGATCGATTATGAGCCTTTGTATTAAAAAAACATCAACAATGTGCATTTTTCTTAAAAATTATCGATAGTGTGCCTTGATTTTTAAAAGTTGCACAATTTGCCTTAACTTTCTTTTAATTTTTTGCCACAATTTATATTTACTAGTTATTTAATATTAAACTCTTAGGTATTAAATGTTTTATTTGTTTAACTATATTTCATGTTATAAATATCTAAGGAGTAATTTCAAATTATTCATATTGATATTAGCATTTTTTCTTAAGCATTAATAAATGGATTGTTATTTAAAGAGAGAATAACGAGATTAAGGGTTCGTTTGGGGCAGCTTATTTGATGCGGTGACGTTTTGAAAACACACCTGGCCTGCTTGGGCAAATTGTGTTTTGCCAACTTATATGTTTGCAAAACGCTGAAAACAGTGTTTTCACACCGCACCTATCTAGGTAGATAGGTGCGGTGACAGCTGTCTGGCAGTGGTCTGGCTTTTCCAAAAAAATTAGAATTTGTAATAGCCACTGTACCTAGCTTATAAACAAATTATTTTTAATCAGCTTATCAACAGATTATTCAATAAGCTGCAGCTGCCCCAAACAGACCCTAAATTGATATTGACAAATCTTCTAGCTGGTCTAGAGGTTCGTTTTTTGAATTGGAGTTAAGATGTTAATGATAGGGATGCAGTACGAATAGTGTATTTGTTGAAGGGACCACATCAACCAAGAAGTTATAATTTTCCTCAAACATTTATGGGTAACGTTGCACATTGATTTAGAGTTTGTTTGGGGTACCTGTAGCTTATCGATAATCTGCTGATAAGCAGCTGATTTGGATAAGTTGTTGATCAGCAGCAGATCCGGATAAGATGACTTGCTGTTTGATTTGTGCGTTTGGAAAACATCTGATTTGTAGCTATTTCTGGATAAATAATAGTTCTACCCCTGTGCAGTGAAGTTGTTTGCAACAGAACTATAGGTGATGAATCAATCAAAGAAGCGATAAAATGAGAACATTCTAATGTGTAGTTTGTAAAGTGCAAGTTGCTCAAAGACAAATGCACGATACCACATATTGCATATCCAAGTGAAATTTAACTAAAAAAGTATAAATAATACGGTTTATGTGGTATGCATGTAAATCTTCCTTTTCATAATAATATCACACTCCTAACTCCTAAGCATATATGCTAACAGCAATTAAAAATAACGAAATTATAAAGCGTTAAGCAAATTATTTTAACATTCATACCCATTTAATAAAACATTCTTTATCTTTCAAATAAAAAAAAATCCAGGTGTAATATGTAAATAAACTAATACTTCTCTTCCCTCTCCAATTAAGTGATACTTTTGTTATGCAAAATTAAAATCCTCTTCCCTCTCCATAAATGTCTCCAATTATGTGATACTTTTGTTATGTAAAATTAAAATTCTCTTCCCTCTCCATAAATGTAAATAAACTGATACTTCTATAAAATTATAAACTGAGATAATCTAAGATGTAGCTCCAAAATTATATC